GGAGGGAGGGTGGGGTGGGGTGGGGGGTGGGAATGAGCTGATACCAAGGGCTCAAGTAGAAAGAAAATGTTTTTAGAATGATGATGGCAACATTTGTACAAAAGTGCTTGACACGATGAATGGATGTATGGATTGTGATGAGAGCTGTAAGAGCCCCCAATAAAATGACTTAAAAAAAAAAGAGTTACAGTCTTGGAAAAACACAGGGGGCAGTTCTACCCTGTCCTATAAAGTTGCTATGATCCGAATCAATTCCACGGCAGATAGTTGGGTTTTTGTTGCTTTGAGCCCAGTAATCTGTCCAGCTGTCCAGCCTGATTCCCAAGGACCCACTGCCACGGGCAGGGAGGGGACCAGAGGAAAGGCGGAGCCATGATGAGAAACAGGCACCCTTTTAGCTCAGTTCCAGCTGAGGCACCCCAGTGCTGCTGCTGCTGCTGTTGCGCCAGAAACTGGCTCTCAGGTGTCCCTTGGGGCATGGTGGTCCCGCCCCTCTACCCCCAAGCCCTCTGCACTCTCACCCTGAAGGACATTTCCACGTTCTCCCCTCCCCAGATCTCCATCTGATTATCATAGGTACCGAGGTGCTCAAAGTAGGCCTTGGAGATGGAGAAGAGGCCGCCGGCAAACGTCGGGGATCTGGAGAGAGAGGGAAAGGCATGAGTGTTTCTGGGGCCAGAGGAGTGGGAGCTTGGCCAGGACATCCACTGGTGCGGTGTACTGGCCGGCACGGCCTCCCCGTCCACGTCCTCTCCTCCTCTTTCCTGGGGATGTGCATCCTTTCTCCTCCAGCCCTTCATTCGTTCATTCAAACATCTCTGCACACCCTGGGCTATCCTGGGGCCTCTCCCCTTCCGAAGGCCAGGCCACGAACAGAGGCGATTGCACTGTCCTCTACAAGGCACCCACTCCCCCCTTTGGTCAGCCACCCGTGTCTTCATTCGGCCCCATCGGCTAGGGCCTGGGCTACATGCTGGACATGCAGGGCTGAGAAAGGCCGGACAGAGCGCCTCTGCTGATGGGCCGTGCTCCTGCTTGTCTGCTTTGTAGCAGCAAAGTGCCCGGAGCTTGGCAACACCCAGTTCTTAGCAGCTGCTTGGAAGTGTTTTGGGGACCTAGGCAGGATTCGAGTCATGAGTGCATGAACAAGCTGGACTGGAGCTATCCTGATTTAGGGTCCCTGGTCCTCCTGAGAACATGTTTTTGTTTTTTTTTAAAAAAAACCATTCTTATTGAGCCGATTCGGATGCAACGGTTGCAGAATGTTACTGCTCCTTGGGGTTTTCTTGCTGTAATTTTTGCAGAATCAGACTGTCACTGACAAATTGGCCCCGAGGATGAGCCCCACCTGGGGGGCAGCACCTCACAACAACCAGCAGGCACCCTCTGGCAAACACCCTGGTATTTCCTGGCCTACTTCCTGGGATCCCTGGGTCCTCCGACCTCTCCTTGCAGCATCCGCTTAGCTATGGAGGTGTGGGTGAGGAACACTGCTAGCAGGTGCCCTGGTGGGGTTCTGGGAAAAGTGCCTTGGGCACAAAAGTGTCATGGTCAGCTCCCAGGGGATCCAGACCAGGGAGCCAACTCCTGCCACATATCCTTTGTCATTCAGCTGGGGATGTGAGTGACGGGCAGGGGCCAGGCGCCCTGTCCCCGAGGCTGCTGTGTGGCTAGTGTAGGTTGGGGGTTTTGCTGTTGCACACAGCACACAAAAGGCATCTAGGAGACAAGCAATGGGACAAGGGTTCCAGTGTCTCTCCTCTCCCCTGCCACTGCTCTGCTCGCCCTCCTCCTGATGGAGAGAGCAGCTGGCTCTTCAGGGCCCATGGGAGCCCGCCTGTGGCCCCCACCTGTGTCCTCTCTGCTGAGACTCTGGGCAGCGTCTCCTAGGATTCTGGGTATGGGACGGGTGAGGAGCCCCAGTCCCTTCACCTTTTAAACCTCCCCTCTTGTCACCAACCACTTATCCCCAGCCTCCTCTCCCCTCCTGACACGTAGGCCAGCTGTCTGGACGTTCCGGCCAGTAGAGGACAACAATGGCTCATCATCCAGAACCAATATTTGAAAAGTCACTCCCCGACTCAGTCTGGCAGCAACAACTGTTAAACTAAACTTGTGGTCTCTACTACTACTGCCAGCAGGCCTGCTGGCAAGGGCCGGGCCGGGCAGGTGTATGTGTGAGGGAGAAGGGCTTCCGTGGGCTATTCAGAGTGGTAAACACTCAGGCTCACTCCGGGAGTCCCTGCGTGGCACACACTGTGAGGTGTTGACTACTGGCCAAAAGGCTGGCTGTTCAAACCCAGCCGGAGGTGCCTTGGAAGACAGGTGTGGCGATCTGTTTCCAAAAGGTCACAGCTTGGAAAAGCCCACGGAGCCCGGGTCGACTCTGCCCACGAGGGGCCACCGCACAGGGGGGTTGATTTGATGACGCCAACCATATCCACTGGATGGACCCGAGACCAAGAACGACGGCCAAGCTTGGCCTGTCTTTCTAAGGCTCTGAGAATGGGTTACAGTAGATCGTTTTCAAATGTGAAAAACAAAACAAAGCAGACTGCCAGGGGCCTGCACAACCTCAAACATCTACGAGGAGCCCATCCTTCACATAAGTCCCCAGCGCCTGCAGCCAAGTGCAAACTGCAGAGGACTTGTCTGCTCCACTTTAACATGTTTGGTCTTTGCAAGGGAGCCCTGGTGCATAGTGGTTATGGGGTTGGACTGCTAGCTGCAAAATCAGCAGTTCGAAACCACCAGCTGCTCCATGGAAGAAAGACAGACGGCCTTGGAAAGAGTTAACGGTCTTGGGAACACACAGGAGGCAAGGTTGGCCCTATTCTCTCGGGTCACTATGCGTCCAAATGGACTTGGTGACGGCGACTCTGGGCTTCTTTTTTTTTGGGGGGGGTTGTTGTCTTTTCAAAGACCTGGGTACACGGGGCACCCCTCAAATTCCATCGACGCCAGCAGTGGCCTCCACCTGCCCTCTCTCAGCCACTCTGCGGGCATCAGGCAGGCTCTTCCCTGTGGAGAGGCATGGATCAAGCACTTAAAGCCATTAGCCGGGGCCCATGGGAGAAGAGCACAGTTTTGGGGTGAGGCAGGCAGTGCCCCAGGGAGAATGTGGGTGTTGGGCCAAGCAGGCCAGAGCGGGGAGCCTCGCTGCATCATTCGCTAGCTGAATGCTCTCAGGCCAAGGGCTTATTCCAGGGAACCTCGGTGCTCTCCTTTGCGTCAACTTGAGTGGAGGGGTGGAGTCTAGCCTGTCAATCAGGTCTAAGCTTGATGGCCTCATTTGGAGGTGCGACGGCGGCAAATAGCTCACTGGAGGCCAGGCCCACTCTCTCTGCCTTCCCTTTCCTGCTGTGGAGACCCTCAGAGAGCTGGAGGAGATGCGTGGAGACCCGCATCAGCGCTGAGATGCTTCCACCCCCACTGGATCCACAAGACCTTCTACCCACTGGCCTGTGATCTCCCTGCATTCGGCATCATTACATGTACTGCTTGAGTCTAAAGAGGAATTTATGGACTGCGTTCAGACATATGGGCTAATATCAGACGGACGGACTTGGTCTGGACTAGGCTGGGATGTTTTCTGAACATACAACTACTCTTTGATATCCAGCTCTCACTTACACACATGACTTCGTTTCTCTAGTTAACCCTGACTAACCCATTTGTGAAAGAGAGGGTGATGGTGAAGTAAAATAGGACAAGTGCTTGGCAAAACCCAAACTGCCCTCGAGTCTGTTCTGATTCATGGGGCCCCTCCAGGACAGGGTGGAACTGGGTCTCTGAGACTGCCACTCTTTCTAGGGATAGAAAGCCTCATCGTTCTCCCGAGCGGCGGCTGGTGGTTTCAAACCGTAGCCTTTCGGACTGCAGCTCAACAGGTAACCAAGCACCTAATAAACGCTCGTGTGAGACGGCTAGGTGGCTGACCCCGGGCCGGGTCAGGGGCTCACCAGGCTGTGGTCCTTACTTGATGGGGTAGGTCTCATCCTTGCGCCTCTGCGTCTCGTGGGGAGGGAGGGCTTCCCAGCCGAAGGTCAGGCTCCAGTCAAAGTTGCCCCGGCTATGAACCCTGCCCCTCAGGGTCGGCTTGGCAAACTCGAAAGTGTTCAGGTCGATGGTGACGATGTCTGGGCTCACCACGGCCGTCTGGTCCTCGGCGATGCGAGCCAGGAGGGGCTCCAGCCAGCCATGGAAGCACTCACCTGCGGGCCGGACCAGAAGGCGGGAGGCCGAGGTCAGGGTCCTGCCCAGGGGGAGACCCAGAGCAAGAGGACCCTCCACCCACTCCCTGGTTATAGCCGGAGACACACAGTCAAGGCCCCTGGCTATAGAGGGCACTCCCATGAACCCCGGCCCTCACCCAGGTGGAGGCTGGTTTGGAGGAGAGGTTGGGGGTCTGAGAACCTGGCCCATCCAATGGCGGGGACATGGGGCCCCGCTGGGGAGGAAGATGGAGGCCCTGAGGACCTCACCTCCTCCCTGAACCAGCTCTCAGCCTCCACGTGAGTCTTTCAGAAGAGGGGGGGCCCTCCCTCTTGCTCCAGTTGTAGAGTAACCTTCCCTCTGCTTTGTCTGGCTCTGAGATGTTCAGTGGATTTCTGCGTATACTACCCCACCTGGCTCGCAGACTAAGACTTGTTTGGTACGTCAGACCAGACAAAGGAGGAAACTGAGGCTCAGTTGGTGACAGAGACAGACAAAGGCAAGCCCGGGTCCTCTGGCTCCTGCACTGAGTGCCTGCCAGAGGGGGTGGGGGGCGGCCTCCGAGGGCGTGTGTCCCCCTGACCCCCTGAGAGTGGTGGGAGATGGTCAGGTAGGAGGCGGGGTGGGAGGCCTTGCTGGCACTGTATGGCCCCACAGGAAGGTGTCCATCCACACAGGTGGCGGCAGGCCTCGCTGAGGGCTGAGCTCAGAACACAACACAAGAGCGACGGACAAGGGAGGGGGTGCACAGCCGAGCACCTGCTCCCCGAAATTTTTGGGTCACCAAATGTTTGAGTGCTGTTTGTGCCTTCAGAGCTGGGAAGGAAAACGGGGTGGGAAAGGCTTGGGGGTGGGGCAGTCCCGAGGTCCACCTCCCATCCTCCTGCAGAACAAGAAAGGGATTTGGGGGGTGCCACCTGTGGCCCAGTTTCTTTCTACTGCACCAGGGAGGAAGCTGAGGTCAAGACGGGAGGCCCCAGGCTGGCCCCCACACTTGCCTCCCTCAGGCCTCTTGGCAGCCAGGCCCAGCCGGTACTCACAGTGGGCATCCAGGAAAGTCAGCACCTCAGCCTGGGCCACGCTGGCCCCCAGGAGCCGGGCAGTGATTAACCCCTTCCGCTCTTGCTGCCGCACCACCCTCACGATCTGCAGGTGCTGCACGTACTGGTCCAGCGGCTTCTTTAAGTACTCTGTAAGACACACAGCCAGCTCTCCCCTGTGCTGCCAACCTAACCCCCGTGGGCACCACGCCCAGGTGCTCTGGGGACGCCAGCACCCACTGCACTGAGCGATTCCACCAAAGACGGAGGCGGCAAAGGGGCTGAAGGTGAAAACTGGGGAGAGGAATGGGACACCCTGGCTCTGCCATCCCAAGTCCACCCTGCCAGGACAGAGGCTGTGCCGTGCCAGATCCTGGGCTGCTCACCTAATGCCATGCCAGGACCTCCGAGCTATGCTTCTTTGTCCTCAAATGTAACACAACTGTCTGCCCCAGGCTGCAGGAGCCTCTCCTGGCTCCCCACCCTCTCAGCCACCATGTTCCAAAGGCGGGACTCTGGGTTCCATGCCTGGAGCGGGTGGCAGCCACATCCTGTCCCCAGGGTCCCCAGGAGTCTCCCAGACAACTGAGGCAGCTTGGCATCGAGAGCCCACGCACACCTGGGTTTCTTGCTTGCTGGGTCGGCGGCAAGAAGCCTTATTTGAATCCTTTTATGTTTTTTTTTTAAACCATTGAATTGGGTGAAGGTTTACAAATCAGGTCAGTTTTCCATGCAACAACTCATTCATCTTGTTCATGTCATGACCACAGTCCCCACACCGTCATCACACCCCCTTTCACACTGTCCCTGTCCCTCTCCTCCTCCTCCTTTCTTAAGCCCTCCGAGTGCTTGTCCTTGGAGAAAAGCTGCCCTCTGGACCTCAAAC